ACCTGTAAAGTTGCAGTAGTTTAGTTTTTTATTTACACCGACCGGCCTCGCTCGTCTCTTTAAAACATGTTGTTTTTATTTGTACACGATGTGTGATGTTACGGTTATATTCAATGTTTTCTTTCAGTTGCTCTCGCCCGGCTACAAACGGCGTTCCGAAGAACTGAAACGTCTTTTCAAGGGCGTTTCTGAAGACGAGAAGCTTGTCATCGGTAAGCGTTATTTTCCACACGCCGTAGGAAGGCTGTGATCCTTTTCCGAGTCTGTTGTCATTCTAGTTTGCTATCCTTTGTTGCTTGCTTTTGTGCTTTGTCGCCGATGGTGTTAGGTTTTCTTTGTTAACGTGTCGTTCGTCGAACAATCCTTGGTGAATTGCACTATAGGCAAAACGTGTCCGAATGACATAACGAGATTTTGCTGTTCGCCAGTCTTCCAAGTTAAAGTTGTTTTTTGTGCCCCCTCCTCGCCCCCCCCCAAAAAAAAAGAATACACGCCTGAAATTTGACTCCATCGCTAATAAGACGGTGTAGTAACTGAAATGTTTACGCAACTGTAGTATTGCATATATGTACATATTTGTTAAACGGCGGAAACTGCTTCAAAATCGGATTTTATAGCGTACTGCGCCACCCCTTACTGCTGGTTGCCGTCGGAGGCCACTTAAGCAGTTTACTCAAACTGATGACGACATGTAGTTTTTCTTGTTTTACTGGCAGTAAATTGCGCATGCTCACACCAACGAAATGAATGAAGTTTTCAATCGATGAATGTCGGTCTTCCTTACGCTTTCATGATGGATTGCTAATGTCGATTTTCATGCCATCAGCCAGGAGTGCCTTATTTTTTTAAAGCAGAATCTGCAGCTATTTGGCAAGCATGGCAATACGCGAGTACACACTGTGCTAGCCAGATAACTGTTGTCTACTGTGCTTTCAAAATAAGGCACTCCTGGCTGGTAGCATGGAAAGGTCGCTCAGCACTCTACCATTTATTTCAGGAAGAAAAGGATGCCAGAAATGGCCCCATCAGAATAATGTAAGACACCTTCCTTTCCTCCATTTCTTTTCCTGTCGTTTGACCCCGAACATTTCGGCTCCGCTTTGTTACGAAGAAGGTAACTTAAAGATTCTGAAAAGCGATATGAAGATACACTCTTTCACGAAGGCAAGTTTAGGGTTGCAGAGTCGCTCCTCAGCTCCTAGACTTACCATCGTCGATATTTGCAGAGATCCGGGAAATATTTGGAAACAATGAATGTACGGAAAGGATTTTCATTTTGTTGTCATGTGGATGTTATTTGTTTGAAGGGATTGTTGCCTAGACTAAGAAGACCTTCGACTAATTGATTATCTCAGTTTTTTTGAAGTAAGTAGAAGTACCATGTTTTTACTTATTCATTTTTACAGCCTGCTCTTTTTCTCGCGTAATGAGAGGTAGCAGCTTCCGGTTTTTTCAGTGACCTCGAACCTCTTTCTGTCGGTAAAGTTTCATGACGTGAATTCCAAAGAACCACAGTGCGAAACGTTCTGTATCCATGAACGCTTTGTGACGATTTGTTAAGTTTTATTGAACTCGCCACCTGAAACAGTTTCTACTATACTTCGCATGGATAGAAAATTTTGCTTTTGACAAGAAATGGATTGATTAATTGATTCCTCATTTCTACCTCATCGTGATGGGTCTTCATTAGAGACGGCATACAGCTTGTTGCAACGTGTAGGGGAAATTGTTCGTTTCTGGTTGGTTGAACCACTGCTACTCGTAAATAGCAGGAGGTGGATTATTTCACCCTACGACATGAAAATGGGTTTACATCTTTCACATTGCATGTTATCACGGCCAGTGTTGTGTTCTTGTAGTCATCCCATGAAGGTTAAGTCTTGCTGCTGCGGCAGTTGTGGTTGAAACCATTCAGACTCGACCTGTAAAGCAAGACAGCTTATTCTGTCTATTAGAAGGATGCTTTGACCACAAGTAACTATGACCGAAGCACTTTTGGAAATTTCCCCTCTATTTATCTTTGAAATGGATATGATGAGTGACGAGGTCACCTTCTGTGTAAAAGCGACACAGAAAGTGACTGGATAAGCGAAACTTTTTCTGCCCGGATTTCATGCTTGACGACTTTGACTGGAGGGAAGTTCCCCTGTTAGGTGAACTAAATACTTCTTATTAGGTAACAGGGTAATAATTTATGCAGTTTTTAGCATGCATCTGCATCTCACGGCTTTCTTCAGGTTCGAACACGACAATAGCAGAACAGACGTCGCCCTTTGATTCATCTCAGATTAAATTTCCAGTAAATGTGCATGTAATACATACATTCCAATAACCTGGGCGGATTGATTGAAGTTATACCAAAGAACGCATGACAGAAGTTTTCCCCTTTCGGTCTGCACTCAAATTCTAACGTCGTTATCAGAGTGGTTGAGGTCACAGGCCATGTGGAGGCAGGCTGTACATGGGGGGGGGGTAATGAGCGAA